TAATTATTTAATATTTATTAAACAGCAGACCACAGAGTTACATAATTATGAATCGTGGGTAAGTTAGTTCACTTTCTTGATAGTAAAAAAGCATTGTCTAGTTGAGTATACTACTAAACTAGCAAACTATTTTGATGGTAAACTGGTTTGTGAGTTAAGTTGAAATATTTCAACTTTACTAGCAAACTAGCGCGCTATTTTATCCAATGCGAGTAAAAATAGTATCATGTAATAATTGGGTACTATTGTGCGGCCAGCGTAACTAGAAGCTTGACGGTCACGCGACGTAGTCACAGAATAAATTAAATCAGAAGGGACACTTTCAATGTAAACAAAAACGTGGCGGCCATGTTCTCGTTGGCTATTTTATCATTTTAGTGTTATCAGTTAAAAAACTGGTATCATAATTCATGAAACATTATTATATTAAGATTATTAAAAATCTTAGCAAAAGCATTTTTTACACGTTTATTAGTGTGTACTGCTTTTTAAATGCAGTTGAAACATGCAGAACATGTTTTGTTGTGATCTGTCGTCTGTACTTTTTGAATAATACTGTGCATTAGAAGCATTACATAATAACATACTCTTTTTATCTTTTTCCTTTTCAATCTATTTTCTTATTTTTAAACCATAATCTTAATGTACCTCTACTATTCAAGCTTGCCTTCAAACAATCGTGATCTATACATTTCAAAACTACATTTTAGGTTCTAATAAATAAAATATATATTTTATTTAATAAAACGTGTATTTTTTTCCAATATGTATTTAATATGAATACCTATTTAATCACATATTTGATTTATACTAATCTAATCCAGTCGCTAATTTTAAAATTAAGAATTTTAAGCAATTAGTAAGTAATTTGAATAAAACTATGGTTGGATCTATACATTTTTGGAAATACATTGTATTTATCATTTTGTTTTTCTGATATGGTTACACTGTTTAGCCAGCGGGAAGATGGCTGCCACAATTTTGAGTATTGTATATATTTACCATGTTAATTTTTATCAGTGTCCAGGCCCTGCCGTAGTGGCCGTTTTTCATTGGGGCTACGAAGAATGCTTTCCCGCGTAAAATAATTTCAAACACATTTACACTTGTTGTATAGACCTTTTTCACAGCTAACTTCGTACGGTACGCGCGCTTATCGCATATTCTTACGTGTGGTTATTAAACGGGCCTTTACTATAAAGAAATAACATTTTATATCTTTGTAATACACATTTTTTATAAATTTATTATCACGTTATCAAACATAAAATAATAATAACATTTATAATATTTACAATAAATTGTTTTCGGATTTTAATAATAATTATAAAACTCTACTCATCGTTGCTCGAACAGCTGTCATCTAGATAAATTGTTAAAATAATCGGCTCTTATATTTCGTCCTTCAGTCCTACTTTATAAAAATGTTCTTCTTGAATTTTCACGCAATGTTCTCCACATTTGGCCCGATCATCAGCAGTTACCGCATCAATTTCTTTATGGACAAGTGCCTCAACATCAGCAATTTTAAATGTTGAGTATTTTTCAGCAACATTCCCTTTAAATTGTGCCTTTTTAAATTAATTCTATGGGATTATACTGACAGTGGTAAGGTCGAATTCATACCACTTCATGTCCCATTTGTTGTGTCAATTGATCAACTTATACATTTTTCCACGCGGCATCGCAATTTCGACTTTCGGGAGAAATGACTATATTTTTTTCACGCAACCATTGTTGAACATCCGTCTTCCTACTATTTGAGTTCGAGTAGTCCTCGAGTAATGCAGAATGATATGACGCGATGTCCATAACAATAACGCAGGGGGTCTTCCAAGTTCATTAACATTTGCAGCAAATACCAATTTTCAAAGATAGTAGCATTCATCTGTGAATGATAATCTTTGGTATTTCCAGAGTTACAACAAAAAATTAATTTTGCATCTTTGACAAAACCAAAGGAATGAGACCCAGCGTGACAAATTATAAGGCGACTGCCTTTCCCAGTAGGTACTTTTAGGCCCTCTGTATTTTCGTGGGTTTTTCCAATATATCCCCGAGTATGATTTTGGTAAACCCAGGTTTCGTCTAAATAGACTATTGGCCGAGTATCACCATTTAGTCCGTCTACACACGGAGCTATCGTTAGAAACTAAACGAGTTTGTGATTTAAATTTTTTATCGATTACTAACGCATTAGTAACTCGGATCCGCACACGAGCATATTGAAAAGTGATCGAAATCACTAGTTTATATTGTTTGGTWATGGAAGGAGGACCTGTATCATCATTTTYTAACACCATGGATGATTCCAGTGATGAAGAAAATATGATGATTGCATATTACTATTACCATACCAAAAGATATAGAAAACGAAGAAGATTTTGGGTTCATCCATATATTGAAAGAAATTTTCACCATCGACTATTTGTTGCCGCGCGAGAATTGAATCTTTCTGATGCTAAATTTTTATGCTTTTATCGCATGTCTAAAGATAG